GTTCAAACAGCCTCAGATTTCAACGTGAGAAATTTGTGAAAGTGGGTCAGCGGGCGATTTTTAAATCAATTATTTTAGAAGCTTCACAGACGCCATTTTAAATATCCATATTTTATGATAAAAACCAGTTTTAAGCACATCAGAGATGGTCGAGCAGAAGAAACTTGATGATTTGAGACGAGATAAACCAGAAGAAACTGTGCGTTAAGTTGTGTTTTTTAAAAGACGAGTACCAGGAATTTGTCTTTGAGGGTTCGAGAGCTGGGAGCTTTGTAGTTCAGAGAAGGAAGCAGAGCCTTCAGTTCCTTCAAGGAGATGCTGAGAGAGACAGAAAAGGATCATCAGGCTGGAAACCTCTTCCTCACAATACCTGCTTTTATTATTCACGTCTCCAAATAGCATCCAGTTTGAATGCGTTGCAGACGGCGTACAGACGATGCTTTTCTACACACTCTACCTGTTTGTCTTGGTCTGATTCACCGAGTACATCTGCTTCCTCAGCCAGCTGCAGAAACAAACACACACTGTGAGACTCTTTCATTTAAATTCTAGCATTAACGTTTAGGATTTAAGGGTTACCTCTCTATGAGAACCGGAGTCGGAGCTGCCAGAGTCTCTTCCCTCAGCAGCTCCAGTCCGATCAGCCATTTCTGAGCCTCGTCCACAGAATCCGCTGGAAAACAAATAAAAGCAGACGATTAAAGCACTAAACTGACATTTATCACCGTGTCAATGGGTAGAAACGCTTCATAATGAGCTCACAAACTGGAAAAAATAGATGCAAAAACAGCATCAGACTATGTGACGTCCTGCAGGATTTGAATCAAACCAAGTGTTCACCTCCCAGGCTGAGGGTGCTGAGGACAAACTGCGATCCGTAGAAGATGGTGAAGCAGGTGTTCTCGTCGTGTTTGTCTTTCCCGTCCTTAAAGCGCTCAAAGTCCTTGGAGTTCCTTCCCGGACGAACCTCCCTGATCTCAGACAGATCCACTGAAACAGATGTACGGCGGTCAGCATTGGAGGAAAACATCGGGTGGCTTCTTTATCAGCTTCACACAGTTTTAATTCTAAAACCGTGGATGAATCAAAGACAAACAGTATAAACATGTAAAAGGCTCCTCAACCGTCCTACAGCGAAACGAGACACCCGAACTGGAAACCAAACACAAAAATCAACATGACTCTGTGGTCGTTTTCAGTTCCTATAGTAGTTTTCAGTGTCTTTTCGTGGGTTTGCACATCTTTGCAGTCGCTCTGAATCATTTTTAGGCCATTTAGAGTTTCTTAACAATAGTTTCATGTCTATTTGCGGTCATTTTAAGTCTGCTTGAGTTCATTTTAGATCTTTTGCATTTTTTTAAGAGTTCTTTTATTACAGTTTTGTGTCTATTTGCGGCCATTTTGAGCTTTTAGACCGAACCGATTACGGAGTCTGACCACTGGCAATTTTTTGATTGTTGGTTTCATTATTTTCATCGACCAATTATCACAAAAATAAATTTAACGTGCCACTTTGGTGCATTAACGCAGCAGTTTTCTGTCTCTGCAGTCGCTCTGTGGCCTCAGCAATGCCCCGCCCACAGCTCTATCTGATTGGCTGTTGCATGTCTGTGTAACAGCCAATCACTGAGGGCCATTGTTTACACAGAGAGACAGAGAGTGAAGCAGCAGCTCTGGTGAATTTGGTGAAACTCAATGTCCAACAATTCACTTTTTTGTGTTAACAAGTGGTGCAGCTGGAACTTGTTCTGCTGGCGGCGCTAGGCTACGGCTATCGCTAAGAGGCTAATGCTTTCACCGTAACACCTTTCTAAAGTCAGAGGAACTTTAATGCTCTGTTTTAACTGACCGACACGTCTCTCTGGCAGAGAAATAGCCTGGAAAAAGAAGCACATCTCCGCTAATCAGGACATTAGCTGCTTTCGCTGTGGCTAAAGCTACGCTAACAGCTAGTGGCTAAGTTAGGATGCAGCCACGGATTAACCTGAAACAGAGTCTGAAAGATAATGGAAATAATTCTTTAGGACCTTAACGGGCGATGAAAGTGACAGAAAAGAACTGACGAAGACAAACTGATCAATCTAAACTAGGGCTGGGATTTTCACAAGTTAGTTTCAATTAATTAATGACAGAAAAAACAACCTGTTAAAAAAAATAATGCATTTGATCGCACCTTTCTTTGCTCCCTAATATCTGGTAACACTGATGCACATGCTCCAGCTGCTAGGTGGCGCTAATGCATCTAAAGTTCGTTTGTCAGCCACGAAGAAGATGCACGTTGAGTGACGTCAGCGCACAAGAAAGTTTGTTGATGGAAGACGAGACGCAACGCTTGGCTTGTTGGGCGGAACGTCGTTTTTCTTATCGAGGTCTGATGCTACGAGTCCACAGGGGGGGTTTGCCAAAATTTGCCAAATTTGCGTAAAGTTGAAGTTAATTCTACTTTATGCAAATGAGGGCTTCGCCGACGTGGGACGTTTCACACAACGAACGGGAAGAAAAAGATGGATCCTGTGGACACGTAGCATGAAGCAGCTTTAAGGAAAAAAAAGTCTTAAAAAGTTGAATATAGTCGCAGTTTGCACTAATCTGTGAATGTAGCAGACAGATTAAAAAATGCAGATAAATACAGATAAAAAATAAACATTTGTGTTGTTTAAGTTCACAGATACGTCTGTTCATGGAACCAACTTTTAATTGAATTGAAAACTTTGCTTTTGTGTCAAATATTTGCAAAATTTGCAAATACAAAGCCTCTAATTAATTAGAGCAATTTTTTTATTGCGTCCCATCACTAATCTAAATACATAAATTTCACAGTTTCTCACCGTTACTCGACACTCTGACGTCACCACTTCTGTTGTTGCTCAGTTACAGGGATCATAATTAATAAAGAAGCCTGTCATGAATGACGGGTTTCCTTCTGTCACATGCTGGTAATGTGGAAGATTTAATGTACAGCGCTGAACAAACGTATTAGACCAACACCCAGTGTGAAGTTTACGCCACAGATGCCCTAAATGAGCAGCATTTCTCATGTTTCTATAACATTTAATACATCAGCATGTAGAAGCTCTTTAACCCAAATGACATTTTTAATGCTAAAATATGATTATTATTGTTGTCCATGACTTTTAAAATTTACTGTTTTACAAACAAAAAACAAAAAACAATAAAGCACATTATTATTTCTTGATTAATATGTCAAATTAGAGTTATTTACTGGCATTCTTGAACAGAAACATTAGTTTTAGTAGTTTAACCAAAATGAGAAAAATGAAGCACATAATAAAATTAAAAATAAGACAAAATGACCCCAAGCAGACTCAAGAAAAGCTAAATAACACAGAAAATTACCACAACAAGACCAAAAAATGAGACGCAAAATACATAAAACAAGATTAAAAATGACCAAAATGGGGCAAAAAATATTAAAAAATGACCCAAAAAGACCCAGATTAGACTGAAAACAACCACAACGAGACACAAATCATTCAAGACGAGACTGAAAATGACCAAAAGTAAACACAACACGACCAAAATCACACACAAATGACCACATAGAGACAAAAAGACCAAAAAATCACACAAGAAATTACCAAAATGAGGCACACAACCGTAAAAATGAGACAAAAAAAACACTACAGAGACACAAAGTGAGACACAAAACAACCAAAACGAGCAAAATAAAGCACAAAATAGTAAAAGTACAACAAAATGACAACAAATAGACTCAAAACAAGACTGAAAATTACTACAAAAAGACCAAAAATAAGAAGCAAAACAAGATTCAAAATGACCAAAACGGGCCAAAAAAAAAATAGTGAAAATGACCAACAATTTATTATTTATTGATATTTAGTGGTTGAATGTGATGCTTGATTGGGCATAAAATGAGGAATTCAGTTTGAAATTCCTCATTTCTGTTCAAAACGCTGAGAGCTGAGTGTGAATTAAATCCCGTCATGATGCTCAACAAGTCGGTCTAATACGTTTATTAAACTGCACATTGGTTCCAAATATCAGTCTTTCGTCTTTCTTGATGACCAATAATCGGTATGAGCCTGTAAAAACAAACAAACGAGCGATCTTTGGTTGATGTACTCACACACGCCGTCCGTCTTGTCTGCGGTTCTGGTCCAGGCCACCTGCCGGGTCTCCATGATGACCTGCACGGTGAGCCGCTCGGCCTTCTGCCGAAACACCGTCATCACGACGCCCATCTCCAAGTCCCGCTTGATCAGGATCTTCTTGTACTCCGTCATCTCGCCCTGCTGCCCCGAACGGGCCATTTTCTGCAGCTGAGACGGGACGGAAAGCAGCATTTTACAAAAGGGAAACCAAGAAAACACAACGAACACACGACGCTTCAGTGGATCTCCTGTGTTAAAGGGAGGAAGGTGACGGACGCTGTACCTCAGCTAACTATAAACACGGTTATTGACTCAGGAGCTACTTTCATCCACAAACAGAGGAACTGCTGTACGTAAAACCGTCATTATTCATCATTAACACCTCACAGCAGCAGCCTCACGGTAAAACGATCCCCCAGTGACACATTTAAGGTCTTTAACAAGCTCATAAAGAAGCTTCCTCCTGCAAAACGTTGCTCGAGCCAAAAGGGAAGCGTCACATTTCATCAGCGTTTCGTCATTTCTGTTTAATCACGTCAGCGCTGTGCTCTTTAACACTTGTTCCACTGCAGGCTGAAAACTTGTAAATGAACCCTCTGAACCCCAAAACCTGCCAAAAGAGTCACAAACTTCAGATTTCCAACTTTCCCACAGCCCTCAAACTACTCATGTGCTGCTCTGTTGGTAAACTCACCCAAATCTGAGTTTTAAAAATCACAATATTTCAGCAAAACCACTTTATTCAAACATTCGCGAATAATAAACCTTTTGCAGTAGCTCGATTCTAGAAAAAACAAAAAATTACGCACTTCTTAACGCAACCGTGAAGCCACGACTGACTCAGCTGCGACCGACAGTCACGTGACAAAAATTCAGAGAGTTTTTTTTAGGTTGAACTGCAGCCAGTGTTTCCACAGAAAGACTGAGAGGAAAATAAAACCTACTGGATCAGTAAATAAAAGCAGCACGGCTCAGAAACAGTGAACAGAGGAGCCGGTTGTTGGACGATACATCCAGCATGGTGAGCAGAGCAGAGAGAAGAAGTCTGGAAGCATGGAGATAGTTCAATATCTATAGTGTGAGGAGACAGAAGGACCACAAAGAGAGAAAACGGCACCACAAACAAGACACAGAATGACATAAATGAGACACAAAACCACAAAAACGCGACATTAAACAAGACAAACACGACACAAAACAAGAAAAATAGACACAAAAGAACAGACAGGAGACAAAACTGTCCCCAAGAGACACAAAACAGCACAAATAAGACAAAAAAACGGGAAAAATATAAATGCAGCACGGCTCAGAAACAGTGAACAGAGGAGCCAGTTGTTGGACGATACATCCAGCTGATGGTGGAACATCTTCTACAGCTGATGAGCAGAGCAGAGAGGAAAAGTCTGTAGACATGGAGATAGTTCAATATCTGTAGTATGAGGAGACAAAAGGACCACAAAGAGACACAAAACAACAAAAACACAGAAGGTTTCATAACATCTGATGCTTTTTTTTTCTCTTTTTCATTTCTTTAACGGTTTCTGTCATTTTAACTGTGTCATTCTGCACAAAAGACATTTCTGAGTTCTCTCTCCTTCTTGATTCTGTTTCCATAGAGGTGCAGGACTTTATATTGCAGTGAAAAATGAGCTCTCAGTGAGTAAAAATGTGACGGAAGCAAAAAAAAAAAATTGAAAATTGGAATTTCGAGGGTTAAAAATCTCCGTTTCGCTGCATAAGCTCTTGTTATAAAAGTGCAGAAATCACTTCCAGTTATTCTCAACCTGCAGCAACAACAGACGGCCGTAAACATTTAGTTCCTTTTCTAAATAACAAATAAATTCCTCAGAACGCAACGCACCGTTTACATCATTTGAGGAAGAAGAAGGACCTTGAACGCACCATCGACAGATCGATATAAACGGTTCGTTATCTCACCGGCGCTGATCCTGTCGGATCCTGAATCCGAACCTAATGTTGGATTAAAGACACATTTAATAAGTGACGGATTCACCGGCTTCCTTTCTCGGCTCGTCGTCCAGAGACAGTTCAGACCACATGACGGTGGATGTAAATCTATAACAGCTCGACAGGAAGAATCAGTGAGCTGATGTGTGACTGGATCGACCCTTAAACAGTTTTTTGCTGCATATTTTATCGATAAAATGTCAAAACTGACGTCTTTCAAAAATGGAAAAGTGGAAGTTTTTAAATAAATATAAATAAATCCTCCATATTTCAGGGGCTGAACAAGCAAATTACTGAATCACACTTTGGTTTTAGATTAGATTAGATATAACTTTATTGATCCCTTTGGT